TTGGATTGAGAAATGGTCAAGAGCCAGAATGAAAAAGGATTTTTTTATTGTTAAAATTCATCAATGTCATCAAATATGGAAGTACAAGTGGTTACCAAGGTTATAATGAAAGAAGGCTCCTTCTCTAAAATAATGGATATATGAAACTATTAGGTTTCCTGTTAATTAAACTATAGGCGATGTAAAAATTAGGAAGTTGTAATATACGAGTGCTTAATAAGGTTTGGACATACATATGAAAGAAAGTTATGGTGTAAATAAAAAGGAAGGAGCTTATGACAAAGTTTGTGAATATTCGAAACTATTAATTATAATTTTTAATAAGAGAATCAAGGAGGGATGTAAGTGGAAACATCTACAAGTAGATCATCTAATAGAATTAATAATCCTAGTTTTGGTTGGATGAAGTATGAGATGGTATTTTTGGGCTTAATAGGAAATTGTCTTTAAATGGAGAGGATATTATGAGGTTATATGGAAAAGCAACTAGGAGATGAGTGCTACATGATGAGAAGAATAAATAAGTGGCGACTTAAATAGTTTGCAAAGTAAATTTTAATTTTAATGTGTATATTGTTCCATATTGTGGATTTGTAATGTCAATATGCCACTTTTGTACAACAGCATTCCTTGCCTGGAAAGATACACTGAACCCTTTATACAAAGCGAGTATGGATTTCACTATCAAGATGGATCTCATACAAGTTTATGATTCATAGCAAATGCTAATAAATAAAATAATGAATAAATGTTTAACTGGATTCTTTATTGATGGCTACATTCAACTATAATTGAATACTACTGACATGTTTCATATCAATCAGATTCTTTTGAGGAGGGAGGACCTAAAAAAAAATTACTATTTCCAAAACATATTAAGCTTATCTAATTAAGGTATATTGAGATTTTGTTATTCTCCATATAGTTTTATTTGATAAAATGACAATAATAATATGTAAATTCAAAAATTACAAAATATAAAATTATTCAATTCAAATCAAATCAATCTTAGCTACTTAAGCCAATTTATAGTTATCCCTATTAAGATTTAAAGAATATTTTTGATCTTTAGAATAATTAATATGTAGAAAATGCAAAATTTCAGCTTCAAATTATAGATGCTTTTAATTCATATTTAATTGCATATCAAGAGCAAATAACAAAAATGTTGCTTAAATAATTTCATTATGAGAAATAGGTTAGTAAACACTTTATGCTAGGCTTCTATCTATAAGAATAGATAACGACTTGAACAAATTAAACTTGAATTTTATTTTTCTTACTTATATAGGAAAAGATCCAGCATATCTATCCACAAGTGGTATTTAACTTGGACATAGAATAATTTATCCGCTGAAAAAAATTTGCTTCTTAATCATAATTTTTATTTTGGGAATTATCAAATTACTAGTTCAACCTATGCTTTTTCAACTTTGGTTGTATAAGTGTTCTAAAAAAAAACACATATGTTATTACTACAAATATCCCCCATCACCTTAACTAAATCGAACAATTATTAGAAGATATGATGTTGTAACTATCGCTCAAACATATTCTGACATTAGGTTTCTATTAATCAGATCCTTCATGCATTAAATGTGCAAATCCTCACTTCAGTCTTGTTAGTGCTAGTGTGACAACTAAATAATTTTAAGCACTAACTAAAGAATGTCAAGGGCATACTGGTTATAATCTGAAATGCTCTAAGTGTGATTCATGCTTGCTAAAATGGTTTCCAAACAAATTCTGATCCCTCTTGAAATGTAAATCTTGTTTTGGTATGATTTTTCGGACTCTTATGTGTCTTATATTGAAAGAAATGCTACATGCTTTGTTAATTGTTAACCTTGTGATATGGAAGCAGCAGTATATAATGTCTCCATTCACATTTGTTTTATCAGCTAAATAATAATAAAACTAAAATTAAAAACTCAAGTTTATTGTCTATCATAATTATTGTATCACATTTATACCTCCTTATTGCTACTTATAATGTTTCGAGTTGTGCTGGATGTATCAAGCTTACTTTTAAGAAAATTTGAAATGTACACAAGTCTTTTCTGCTTGCAGATGATTATGTTGCTGGTTCTTCCGCTAATGGTATTAGTTTTTCATCTAATCACATCATTGTGCAGCATAAACAACTTATTGAAAATAGCAGTTGCTCAACATATTCTGAACTTTTTTAACTAGACCTAGATAACTATACAGCATTTATACTTCTATGGAAAACTCTTTAGTCAACAGCTTACATGCACTATTTCACATGCTAACACTGGAGGTAAATAAAGAGCTTTTCCGTTTTTGAAATTATGCTTCCGAATTAAATGCCTGCAAAAGGATGTTACATTATTTTTGAAAACCTTCTTACAATCTCCAAAAATACTGCTATCCCCCTCTCTAATAATGAACTTAGCCCATTCATTATAGTAGACTTGATACTAAAATAGGAGAACATGGCAATGAACTACCAGTTATGCATTAGTTTAAACACCTAGCAGTACATGTTGTAGAAGTATCTCAATTTGGTGCAGTATAAGATAAGCAGGACAAAATTACTTGATCCAGATCCAGGTAACATGAGTTATCAGGAATCATTAAGTTTTACAAATGCCTCATTTTTTAAGGACAGCTTACACAATTAGTAGTTGAAAATCCTTTTCATCAGAGTAACACATTTCTAAAAAAAGGAGAAAAGAATTCTCATATTTGGGCAGTACAGTTGCGTATAAAACTCTCTTTGTCAAAAATATTATCAGAATTTTAATGCAAGAGGGTGGGTGTACATTAGATCAAGATACTTTGCATCGTTAATTTATTGTTTTAAAGTTCATAGCTTGTCCTCTATTTTTGATATTTTTGAGACAGTTTGGGAAATGGAATGTTGCTCTGAGCTATCTTTGTAAGATGAACGTGGACCTAGTCATCAGAAAGGTTGCCCTTAGAAGTTGATTATTTGAATTATAATAATAATACAATTTCTTAGTGGATACTTCTGACACTTAATTTATTGAGGATCATATTAGAAAAATATATAATTTCTTTCAATTTAAAGTAATAAATATTATGAAAACCACATCGTTCAACACATCATATAAATTAATTTATATAATATCCAATTGGTTTAATGAATAAATTAAATTCTCCATGTGAAAATTCTTCCACTCATTATTGTCCTGGATTAATTTATTATGATATGTAATTTAACCTCAATTAGTGCCCTTCAGTTAATATCCAATACTTATGAGAATGATTACTAAAATTGTTGAGTTTCAACAAGAAAATTTGAATCCAAAAAAAATAATCGACACTTTGATTTCTTTGTCCTTTATTAATGAACAAAATCACATTAGATGATGCTAGAAGTTAAAAATTTCAGACCTTAAAAAATTCCACAAATTCTCTCTGGTTCTATATTTGGTTGCTTTGAAACTCAAATATTATTAATCTACGACTTTTCATGTCATCTCATTTTCTAATCGTTTTCACATAATTTTTTCATCTGTAAAATCAAATACAATTAATCCTATGTTCATCTATAAGCATAGAAAATTTTCATATTTCATTCTCAAATATTGAATAATTTACAATTCTAAACTATTCTAACGAGTCAGATTATATGCTCAGCTTAATTCGATGATTGTAAATTTAAGGTTATCAAAATGAATATAAATTCAATTCGCGTAAAACCTGATAGATTTTTTCGCTGTATATAATAATGCGTTGAAAATACAATTATATAATTATTGATAATGCCAAATTTTGACTTTTTTTTGTTTAATTTTTATTCTAGATCTTTTATTTAATTGAAATTATACGATTAAACACAAGCTTCACTATTTAAGCAATATAATCCCTAAATTCGAAATGTGATTCCTTTTATATTGTTGTGATTATGCTGAATAAAACTCAATAAATTATATATTATGTTATAAATATTTTCTGAATGAATTAAATCTTATTTAATTTTTATTTTAGATTTAAATGGAAACTCTGATGTGCAAATATCTAAACCATCAAATTGAAGAAATACTAGTATTCAACTTATAAGAGTTAACATACCTGATGCAATTATTAAAAATTTTCGATTTTTCTTTAAGACTAAGGGAACTATTTTTTGGTTCTTTTAAGTAGATATTTAGATATTATAGATTATGTGCTTGATAATATGCCAAATTATTTGTTGAAAGGGCCTTATTGAACAAAATTGAAGATATTACTATTGTGATAGTGGCACTCGATAATCTAAATAGAATTAATGGGATTTCTCTTTTTGAAGTAATAATCAACTTAAAAGAGTACTTTGAAATAACAGTTGTCTAAAAAAGTACATCATAAAGAATGGGATCATAGTAGGATAAAGTTTAGTTTTAACGTAAACAAGAAATTAATGAATCCCTAATGATAAACTGATAAAATTTAATATAAAATAAATTAAGAACAACAAATAGAATAGTAACAATAAAGAAAATCTTGAGGATGGTTTGTAAAATATTAATGACATCTCTGGGAGTGTCAGATTCAATTCAATCAGCTATAGTAGTTGAGAATAAAAAGAGAAGTTCGTTAGCCGGAAATAACAAAAGCCCAGTTGAGTTAAGGATGAATAATGAGGTTAGACCCCAGAAATAAATCCAGGACAAGCGTTGACTTTATAGGACAAATTATATGAAGACAGTTGATTGTAACTGACGAATGAAAAATTTGATTTAACCAACTGCAATGGATCATGTAATAAAAGCCAATCTTGGCTATTTATTTCTGATAAAAAATACAACTTTTTTTTAAGCGGAGTTGCAAATTTGTAGAGACTTTTGTGGAAAAAATTAGAAAAGCATGAGTAATATGTGCTTTTGGATGCAAAATACATTTAGTATTCGAAGAATAGGCAAAAATTTTGCAAATACAACTTACTAATTTGAATTTGATTGAGTGTAATTCAAATTTCTGTGCTCCAATAATCAAAATGCTGTAGCATGCGCGTCGTTTTAAGAATATGTGCGAAGGGCAAATAATTTCCATGATATTTAAATTGAGTGAAAATGAATTGCTAATTTTTTGACTTTGCAAGATTATTACTTTTAACAAGTCCTAAGAACTTCAACACATAACCATTATCTGTTCATTTTTTTTTTTCAGAAATTACTCTATGGTTGGGCAAATATTAATGCACATAAATATATATGTTTTGAATAGATAAGGAACACTTTGGAGAAGGAGATAAATATTTCATTTCATAAGGGGACAATTAAAAAGCAGAGGGCAAAAATTCTTATAAAAGCTTTAAATGAAGGATTAAGCAACTTTTAGAAATATTCTGGTTAATTTTAAGGAGAGTAAGAGCAACGAAATCAAAGTCAATAGCTTTAAGATTAGAGCGATAAATAAGCTGAAAAAGTGTCAGCAGCAAAATAATAGCAAAAACGAATTAAGCATACAATTCTGATTAAAATGAGTTTGCTTGTATATAAAAAATTTAATGAACATAATGTGCGTCAATTTAACAGATGAAAATATCTTATTCAAAGATTCAAATTCCAGGATTCATGGCAACTGATATTTAGATTATTTGGAAGGCTAATAATTTCATGATGAAAGAGCCTTGAAATTAAAAAACTAAAGCAGAAGTTAAAATGCATAAATTAATACTATTTAGAAATATATGGTTTTATTAATTATTATGATTGATTTAACTCGAAAATCACTATTAAAAGAAATAAATTAAACAAGATACATGTTGAGAACGAAGACAATTTTGAATAAATTAATCAATTGAGTTTAAAAATTTAAATTGATATTTAATTCATATTACAGCAGTTATCATTTTGAGGATTAAGTAGGGAACCATGAAATCTTAATGTATAAATATATAATCATTCATTATGATTGTCTTGCTCCTCTAATAATCCTTTAAAAACAAAATTGCCAAAATTATCATGATAATTTCACAGAAAATGCAGAAGCAAAAAAACCTTTGATAATGTTTTCTAACATTTCCTGCAACATTTTTATCTTGAAAACATTTGAACTTTAGTCTCTATTAGGATTTTACGTTTGCACAATATTAATAATTTTTGCCTTCTCTTAAATTAATCTATTATTTTTTATGAAAATTTACATTCTTCCATAATAAATTCTAGTCTTATCATCTGACTTGGTTTGCTTATTGGTTCATTTGATAATAAAGTTGATAGTCTGATAAATTTTAATATTATGCTTAAGGCTGATAATTTTCATCTAAATATTATGCTTATTAATAATTTTTATTAAAATTTTAACAATTTTAAAAAGAAATTAATAGTTCTTCTTTTGTAATTCAATAATAATTAAACATCCTTAATCATGGCTATATATATGATAAACAACAAATCAGACTTTATCATATGAATAATACTAATCTTTGCTTAATTAAAAATCTCTATTTTTGGAACAATCACTATTAAATTAGCACTTTTAAAAGTTTATATTGCTGAAATAATTTAATTTAGAATGGCTCAATAAGAGCAGATATAATGTATTTCAATTTACTTTTATTACATATTAGATTAAACAGAGGAAATATCTAATTTCTAGCTTTTGGTTCATCATATAATTGTTGCGAATCTTAAGCTTCAACAATTAAATTAAAATTTTTGGATTTTGTTGATATACATTGTAATGACGACACGGATTTGATAAATTATACAAACGTTTGCTTAAAAAATAGATATTTACCTTCATATCATTGGTAAAAACCATTGAATCATAATCATATAACTTTTTTTTTTCAACTCGTTAACTGATTTGGTTATAATTTCATATCAACAATTATTGGATGTAAATTATAACTGCTAATAACACTTATTGCTAGTTGGTAATTGTTATAAAATAATGCCTTTGATTTTTGAAGAATTTCATTAAGGTTTTAATTGATTCTAATATTAATAATTATTAGATAAGAATTGCTATGCCCAAATTATAATTTTAATATGAAGTAATTAAATGGGCTAATAATTTACTATTAATTAATGTGTCCTTTCTGTTGTATTCAAGAAGTTCAAATACTTATATTATTGTAAAATTATGGATAGTGCATTAATAGAGGCATTACCTAATAAATTAATCTCAAGTATGTTGGCAGATGTCCACAGTCATTATAGCTTATATGAAGAAGATTAAACCATTTTTTTTCTTCTACAGTATCACACCAAAAATGAAAATTCTACTAAACTTAACATAGATCTTAAATAAATTTAAACATTGACCCTGTAAAAATGATATACCAATTAAATATAATTTCTAGTATGAAGATGCTACACATTTTTGAATAGAATAAACCTTAAAATCTTAATTGTATAAATGAGTGTGGTTTTTCATATCAAAGAAATTTTGTTCCATTAATTGATTAAAAACAGCTTTTATATACAATAAGGAATATACTTAAGGATCTTGTATAAGATATATAATTTCCATATTCTAAATGTGATACCTACAAGTATTTTATGATTATTATAATTTTTTTGCAAACTTGAGAAAATTGATTTAAATTGAACATATGTGCCTAATTTGAAATAGTTAAAGCTTTGTTGTATACCAAGGTTGTTTAAGAACAAAGAATATCACTAGATGCATTCAAAATTTAATAAGTACAAGAAAATTGCTTTTCAATTTAAAGTCCAATTTAATTTGGATCAAAATTTACTTAATGTGAATAGAACTATTGCATTAAAATATATAATATGTGGAAAATGTTAATCATTTAGTTTGATATTCGATAGATAAATTGAAACCTTGATATTTCATATCCAACATTTTAAACATGAAATTAATGATCTTCTTTCTGATCTTCAATAATATTAGAATATCTTTTCTTCAATATCTCCAAGTTATTAATTTTTAAATCCATCACCTAATTAGTATTTGTAATAATTATAGATAGTTCTAGGGAATATTTGCAAGTTAGTTTTTAGCCCCTCAATATATTAAACATGGACAAGGGTTTTTCCTCTATAATGTCTCTATTCTCTCCTCCATAATTTCATATAATAATACTACTTCTTTCAAAAAACTCCAATAATGTACGAGCAAGATTTGTAATTGTTACTAATAAAATATTTATATATGGATTTATTTTAATGATTCCTTCATAACTTTTCATATTATATCTAAATGGTTTCTCCAATAGAATAGCTCTAAGGATATAATTGATAGAATCCTTGAAATCTGGATTAAGATAACTTTTATCATTTAAAACTGCTTTAGAGCATCTATTTTAATGAAAAATTGAGGATTTATAGAAAAAAGAGCTACACTAGTTTTTATTCCATAAGTTATATTACTTTTTCCATTTTAATATTCAACATACTCTAGCCCGAATTGATCCTCTAGATTCAGTTGAATCCATTTAAAATTTTTGAATCCAACTGATTGAAACAACCACCATCTCTAATATTTTTAAAGTGAATAATAGTCTCTTAAAATTTTGATTTATGATGCTTAATCATTTCCATTCTCATTACTTGATTTCATATAAGTATTTTCCTTCTTATAATGTTTGGATTTATAACGATATAATTCATAGAATTCCATTCATTTTAGATTTCATCTTAATAGTTACCACTAGCCCTAAATTAATTTAAATAAGCTATAACATTTTCTAAAAGTTATTCTTATACCAAAAGGAAGGGTGGGAAGATTGTGCTCATAATAATTGATAGTTTGAAAGTTCCATAATGATAGTATCCAACATCATAAACATAACGATTGTTACGAATATGTAGATAACTATACTAATTTTAATTATCATACAAGCAATTAACTAATAAAGAGCATCATACTACAATTCTTACATGATAAGTATTATTGCCTCTTTTCTGTTTCACATAACACAATTAGTGCAGTATTTAAGTGTAAGAATGTTTTTCAAACCTTCACTAAATCTCTTTCATTTTGTATGGAGTATTGTGATTCCAGCTGTCTAGAGTGCGTCGAAGATTAATAATAACATAGATTTTCATGTGGAAAATCTTAACGAAATTATTATTAACAGCATATTCTAGTGGAAAATAAAGGAAAATGTCAAGTCTGCCCTTCATTATGTGATATTTGCAAACCTAGATCAAAAATTGAGATTTAAGTCCTTAATTATCAATTATAAAATAGACAATAAACTCCTATTAAATAGTTGCACAATACTGTTTTCAAAAAACATAGCAAATACAGTAACAGGCTTTTATAAGTTCGAATTTAAAAATCATAATTATAATCAGATCAAGAACTATGAAATATTATAATTACGTAAACAAGGAACAAAGATATAATGTTTGTATTTAATTCAATTAATAATTTATAAATTCATTTAATGTTGAGTTAATCATAAATTTTATTTATTCTACTATGATGAAGATAGAAATAAATAAAATGTTTTTGTTCTTAACACTGTTAAAGTAAGGTTTGTATAAAACTATTCTTACATAAATTGATATTGGCTCAAAAATGAAAATAACTAAAAAAAAAGTACTTAGCAGATTTAAAGTTATTTAAACATCCATGTCATTCTCATTTAATTCACTAATATGAGTTAATAATATACATTAATTTAATACAAATATGGTAAGGATTAGATACATAACAGGAAGGCAAAGATACAGTAGTCCCACTGCTATAGCAATTTTACCCCTAACTAATAAATTGCTTAAAATATCTTTGAAATTGTTCTAATGCTTAATAAAATAATAAGGTTAATTTATGCATTAATAATTACAAAATTAGAAACTAGGACTTACCAAGTAGATATTAATATTAAAATGCTTATTTAATTGCTAAACTATAAAAATCGAAAGCCTTTTTTCACATTGCTATCTTCAACTTAAAAAAATTGAAATATTGAATGGATATACTATTTTATAATTAAGTAATTTACTTTCAAGGCTGCTTTAAACATAAATATATGGCTGGGATAAAATCTTCTTCCTAACACCATCTAACCTAGCTCCAAAGTGTCTTATCTTTCACATTCACTTTACTCTAAATCAATATTCTTTTAATTTTTATACTCTTTAAATAATAGGAAACAATAATCAAAAAAAGATGATAAAATAACTCCGCTCTAGACATATAGAAAAGTCTAGTCAATTAATTTAATTGATGAAAAATCAAACTAAAAATGATTGCCACCGTTGTGCTATTCTAAATTCCTGATTTTTGAGCAATTTTTATTAAAAATAAATTTCCTATTGATTTACATTTACAAAACAGTTGTGCTCTTTGATTATTAATCTCTTCCATTTTTAATTCACAATTTTCAAATTTCTTTTCCGTTATATAATTTATACAATAATATTCAAAACTGTAGAATACTAGTTTGAAGGATCACAATATTAAAATTCTGCCAAATCAATTCTATAATAACTACTTAATTCTTGCTGATTAATTTAGGGATTAGTATAAAGAAAATTAGTTAAAATGGATTTGACGTAATGATATTTATCAATCTCAAAATCTGATCTATTTAAGTATTTTTGAAGCATTTTACTGTAAGTTTATGATAGATTATAGTAATTGTAACTAACTATAAGTTATTACTTCTAGATGAATGCAATTAAATAATCTAGTTAATCATTTTGTATTTAAAGATTTACATTAAGCTTTGACTTCGTAAGTTTTTACAATTAGAATTTCAAAATCATTCCGTTAATCAATAAAACTTAACCATTCACTTAGACACTTTTCACTAATATGCATTGTAATATTATCAATTAATGAAATTAATTTCTCAGATATTTTTGCTACTTGCTCTTAATTCTCTGCAGAAGGTTCATTCTAAGATATAATTAGCAATTATTAATCTATCAAATGGATACATTGAGTAAAAATAAAACAATCATACTGAAATTTATAGCATCTAGACTAGACTTTTAACCAACATAATTGACTCAGTATCAACAATTATATTATGTTGTGCATTTTATTTCTCCAGATTTACCTTCAATTTTATTAATTTTGTTATTTATTTTTCAACATTTTCAGAATATATTACTAAAGATGAAATATTAGTGCTATTTTTCTAGATATATTCTTTATTAGTATTAATAAAGAGAGATGCCTTATTATTGTAGCATACATTTTTTAAATTTTATTCTAAATATCTCCTTGAAGTATTTGAAGCCTACTATTTTACTATTAATTTTTTGTATAGATTAATTGTTTGATGAGCTAAAAATTTTTCATATATATAATTAGAGTTTATTCCTAATTCAACATATTTTAATAATTCATCCTTCAATTTCACGCAATTTTATTCATCTTAACGATTAATCATTATTTCAAATATCCATGCAATTTTTTCCCTAAATACTAATTGAGCTATTGTTTAATTCGTACATACGATTTGATTCTGTGACATATTTAAGTGCTTTTGAATATTTGTTATTGAACCTCTTTAATCGATTATCTAAAATATTATAATTATTTCAGCATAAGGAAAATATCCTACTAAATTATTAGATTACTAAAAGCTGTAGAAAAGTAGTGAATTGTCTGAAGATTGATTTTGAAATTCTTCAAAATCATCAGTAAATAAAAAAACCTTCATTTAATAGAGATAAGGTTTATCTTCAGATTATTCACAATTAATTGCCATTTTATGAGACTCTAAAGCTTTGATATTTATTCTAGCATTTGAAATCTGCAATTTGGTGGTTAATTTAAACTTAGGCTTATTTCTGCCTGATTAGGAATGATATCATTACTATATTAAGCTAAAAACTTAAGGAGAAATTTATCCCCTTTGTTAAACTATTAATAATAATCGTATAATTAAAACGAATATTTATAATATTGGGGCCTAAGTATTGTAACTAATTAATAATCATAAATTATTGCGATTTAATAATCTAGGAGGTATTATCTATTCTAAAGAAGTATATTAAACGTAAATTGCAAGTCTTCATAATTATTGACTGGCCTTATTAAATATCCATTATTATAATCGATATCTAGATGTTTTTAATCATCTTCTAAATATACAATAACTATCCTATAAGAATAGGATAATGAATTCTTTGTTGCAATTACGATCCACGCTTAAATTGTGAATGGCAAAAAAGTAGCTTTAGGAAAAGACTAAATTGCTTAAGTAGAATTAATTTATATGATGTTCTATTTAGAACCCTTACATAATATGAAGTTAGATCTAAACAACTGACTGTTAGTAAAAATTTTGATCTTCATTCCAATTATATTAAACATCGAGATCTTTGCATTGGATGTAAATATTTGTAAAATCTAAGTATTTTAGCAATTTCTTTGTTCCATTAAATTGGCAGAAGATTCCCGCTGATTTAATCTATATAGTTACATTTTATTAGTAATAATATTAAATGGAAGAATCTGAAATAGTTAATTAAAATGTATAAGCTGTCCAAGCACTTAATGAGTAGCTTTGAATATTATATTCCAATTGGTTAGAATTAAATAAATCAGTATAATTGATGTTTGAAGGTCTAGATTTAGAGTTATTTCTATAGATGTCATAAAATTTAGTTTAATATTGAAAATTATCATTTGATAGTTTTGAATTTTCTATGCAACTTTTAGTAACTAAAGTGAAAGCCAGATTTATAGATTCATAAGGATAATATTACTGTTTAAGTTTTGAAAAAATACTAGGAAATTATCCTGCATGTGTTCGAATTAATATTTGATAAGCTGTTTTTTTTTAAACAAAGTTTTGAACTTCCACAATTAAAGTAACATTAGATTGGATTGGTAATGTTTTTTCTGGGATTGCTAGATCCAATAATTGGAAATTTGTTAATTCAGTAACGAAATTAGCAAGATTCCCATTTCCATTTTACCCCTACACAACAATAGACCATGACAAGGAAATAAAACTTCGTAAACCATCATAGAGTTTTTAATCCATCAAAATAACATTCTCATCGCAAGGATTAAAAAGAGAAGTAGGTACATCATATTTGATAACAGGAGCGAATGGGCTATTAGGTTTTTCAAGTTTATTTAAAAAGAACTACTATAGTTTATTATTACAATTTTTGTGACCAAATGAACCAGGCAAAAAATCTATTTTATCTCCTGGAAGAATGGTGGGATTGTGACCGAGATTAAAAAGTAATTATTATTGATTATCTGGATCTATATTACATGTTGGATTTATTCCAAATTTTGATAGAGTAGTCTCGTTTAGGAGTTTAAAGCAAGTGTTGATATCAAGTTAAGTTGAAAAGTAATTTGGATTTAGAGAGAAATCGAATAGGACAATTATTGCTGTCAGATCATCTGATAATTTAATCTTCATTACAGCTACTTCGCAATCTACAATTATGAAGTTTATATTTGAGCACCAAGGAGTTTATAGTGAAATAACTGAGTCTGGAGGTTGAGCACAAGTCATTTGATCAGATAAAATTCGATTGCCATTGCATGTTAAACATCCATATAAAGAACATGTTTTACAAGTGTAATCACATTTCAAGCAATTTACACTTTAAAAGTCATCATAATATCCGTCCAAACATCGACGGAATGGAATTTAGACTCTATCACCCTTATAAATAGAAAAATTAAAAAACCATACAAGCTAGACAATTAGCTGAATTGTTTTGCATTTTTGACATTAAAAGTCACATTCTTATAATATTGATCTAATATATACAATCGCATAATTTTTGTCCACCTTCAAAATATCCTTCTAAACAATCACATGATTTGTTTATACGACTTTCCTTACACGTTATGCAATTCGAGGGCATTGTTTAGCAAGTATCGCATTAAAATTCACAAACTTAGTAAATAATAATAATTATTACCTTCACAAACTAGTTATGAAGTTTCAAAGTAGCCATTCATACATGGGCAATCAGGTGGATTTATTCTTATGTTGCTTTGGCATTTCAGGCAATTTTTTGCATCTTTCTCGCAACTTTTTGCAACGACTATCACATTTATTACAAATAATTTAGAAATCATCATCATAATATCCATCTTTAGAATTACATTAATTTGAAATTGTTAAACTATTGGAACCTTGGAGAAATTTGCAGCTTTAGCAATTATTTCTTTCATTCAAACATCCAGAACATTTAACATGACATTCTGAATATTATTGAAAATAATTACTTAAACAAATTTCATTAGAATCCTAGTAAAAATCAGAAAGACAAGGACATTTGTGAATAATAGATTAATCTAATCTATTTTAATTCATATCACAACTAGTACAATAATCTTTTTGATTTTTACAAGTTTAACAAGAATTTGAGCATTCTAATTTCATATCTCATAAATACTTACACATATTAATGATCCATTATCAAAATAGCCAGGAATGCAAGTACAATCATTTTGAGTTACTACACGAAAATGATTTGGGAAACAGGATTACCATTTTGTTGAGCTTATTGAGCAGGTTTTACAAATTTGGCTGCATTTTTGACACATCTCAATTCCAACATCATAATATCCATCCAAACAGGGGCAAGAATTCATTTAAAAATATCGAAATTTAGACGTATCACAAGTTAAACATTTATTTGATTAAATCTAACATGTTTTACAACTACTTTGACATTCTATAATTTTAAT